ATGATGGAGGTTCCTGTGGAGTTTTGTTGGATGTTGCGGCGGGTAGCACGGGGAGGGCACTTGGGGTAGGACGAACGAGAGTTTTGGGAGAGAGACTAGTTGGATTTGGGAATTTGATATGCTTTTAAATAGGTGGGGGAGTTTTACTTGGTGAAAGTGTTTGGGTCTCTGGAAGATTCGGGAATTGGTCGTTTTGGGTAGATCAAATACAACTTGTATATTATTTGTTAAAAATAAAATTCTTGGACATGATAAATAATAGATTAAAATCTTAGGGAAAAAGGATTCTCGAAAAATATGAATTAACAAAGTCCTATGTAGTTTAATAAATATTGAACAATATTTCCAATTATGTAATATTTTAAATTATATAATATTAAAATTATGCATCCTGTATGTCCTCAAAAATATTGCAAATTATATCGTAAAATATGAATTAACAAAATCTTACATAGTTTGGTAAACATTGTACAATGTTTCTAATTATGTAACATTTATTTTATATATTTTTTAAAAAATATTGACTCGGCCAACTAAATCCTGTCAATTCTAATTTTTGATCAACATTTCAAATATAATTCGTGTAATATTATACGCATTTGCAAAAATATTGCAAAAATATTACAAAAATGTTTTCACGTTTGTTAGTAACTTTTGAGTACATGGATAAAATTATAGTTTCGATGGTTGGTAAGCAGAAGAATGTGAATCGATGGAGCGTAACGTAAGATTCTCTTGAAGCCGAGATGCTGTTCGCGGAGCTCGTAGTATCTTGAAAGAGACGCGGGTAGCGTAAGCGGGTCCCATTCATAAACCTAAAATCAATGACGGATTGGTAGAAAGAAATTCGTGGCCTCGGATTGGACGCGTGCGGTCGCCATGATGGCACCGCCGGCCAATCCCCGCGTTCGCCTCGTTTTCCACAGCTCGTGTACTCGTGGCCGACTCTCTCTCTCCATTTCTCCTTTCCTCGGCTTCTTTGTCTCTCCTCTCTCCCTTTGTTCTATCTCCTTCACTCTCTTCTTTCACCCCCCACCTCCTGTTTTGGTATTTTATGAATTTTTTTTTTTTTACTTAAAGAGGTCCCTTAATTCTTTCTCCCTATGATTTCCCCTAGATTTTATCTCTGGTACCTTCGTAGACGTTTCCCCTATTCTCTTTGTTACATTTCATCGAATCTTATCGAATTTCTATTCAGCTTTCTCTGTGATCCATTTTCGATTCTTCCGTTCCTTTTTTCTCGTTATTATCCCTTGCAGGTTCCTTCTTTTATCATTGTATCTTTGATACATCGTTAAGCTACACTGTACTAGACTCACAAGTCCTCTCAGCCTCTTCATTCCTAACTAGATCTTAATTGGGTGTTAATACATCTCGTTGACATTAATTATGATTACTACAGGGTGTAATTAATATCGCGTATTTCTTCGTTTTTCGTGTGCTTCGGGTTTGAAGTATATTTATTAAAATATATAAGTAATAAAGTAAGAGAACCAGAAGCAAACCTAACCTAAAACTAACCCAAACCTCGTATATGATTCACATCGTAGTAAATTGGTACCTAACCTAGGTCTCGTCTGAAATTGTCCAAAATATCGAATATGATTCAAAAGTACATACAAAATCCACACCTAACCTAACCTGTCTCATATAAACAAATCCCAAGTCTAATCTAAATAATTAAAATTAAATGTATTGTAATTCAAACCTAATCCAAAGTTCGCACATAATGACGGGAATTTAATCGACGTTTAACCAGGGTCTGAACCTAACCTAAAATAAACGTGGAATGTGATTCACGCTACAGAGAGTCGACACCGTTTCCACAAGAATTGGTTCAACGAAAAATCCCCTTTCTCTAAGACGGTGCATAAAACGCGTTCCAATTCTCATTATGACGAGTCCCGGTGCCGCAATCCGACGAGTTTGTCTAGTTTTTAAGACAAATGGCGCATTGCGTGCACCAGGCAGGCGCAGTGCGCTAGTTAAACGGCGAACCGAAGAAACTTCGAAAGCGGACAGCCCCGACGTGTGAATTCCAACTGTGAATCTCTTCGATCCAAGCATGCAAAACGCCTCGAACCACGTGATCCTCCAACCTCGATCGATGATTCCCTAACTCGTTTTAGGTTAACGAATTAATTCTCGCCAGTCCCATTGACCAATCGCTCGACTCGAAGCGATCGTCCGTCCAACGATCGTCGCCGCGGTCCATCGATATCTACGTAGCGTGACATTCAATGGCCGACGCGTAACGGTTAGCGGGCGGATTATGGCGGGAGATTTGAACCGCTGGAAGGCGAAAATTGAAAATACGCGGTGTTATCGAAAATCGACAAGTAGTAAATTAAAAAATAAACACTTTTCTCACTCTGGCTTACCAGGCGTAGTATTTCCCAAGCTTTTATCGTTATTCTCCGTTTTTTAACCGCACGGTTTTAAACGAATGCCAGCCGATGCAGCTGGTTCTTTTAATCCACTTTTTTAATCCCAGCGGGAAAGTGCTGTGTGTATTTTTATGTACTTTTTACGGGCCACTGAGTTAAAAGAAAGGATAAGTAAGGAACGAAATGAAAGCACTAAAAAAACAGAAGCTTGTAAAATATTTCTATTCTATTTTCTCTTTATTTCTTTTTTAATTTTTTCCCTTTTTTTTCATTATGGGAAAAAACGTTCTTATTAGGACGAATGAGGAACAATCGGGGAGATTCTTATTAACCCTCTGCACTGCAATAACGAGTCTAACTCGTCGCGAGTTCCTTATATCAAATCTCACGATTATAAATCTACATTTATCACGCGACCATAATTATGTTCGATATACTAGAAGAAGCACAAAATTAAACCTCAATGGGTCGAATTTTTGTCTTAAATTGTCCAAGATAGTTCCCTTGGTTTCTATCTGCTGACAATTTACAATTAGCAAGTTAAGCATTTGCCAACTATCATTATTATCATTATTGGTTATCTCAGAGACATTATACAATTAACCTTTTGCACTCGAGAGGCGCCTTTCAGTCGCCATTTGATAAAATTTCGAAGCTCGATATTAATTAATATATGAAATTTAAAATAACGTAGCAGTGTGCGAGGTATCGAAATATAAATAATTCTCCGTATTAATTATTATACGATTTCTTATTTATTTATTATTATTTATAAATAATATCATTTATCATCTATGCTCAAAAATATCAGTCTTATAGCAGAGGAGTTTTCAACTCGTACCCTTCTTTGGCCGAAAAATCCTCGAGCGCAGAGGGTTAAGACATATACGCCATCTTGCGAGAAAACTAAAAAGTTATTTAATAAAATGTCGATATATTGGCACGTGATCTAAAAGTTAGAGGGGTCTATAGAAGCTTAAGTTTATGGTGAATAAAATAGACGTATAGCGATTAACTAAACCACTCATTCTAAAATCCTCCTTCGACGTATAATTTTTAATAATTATTGCGGGGGGTTAATCTCGCGGGAGGGGGAGAATTAATGCCAAGTGATTTACAATAACTATTAGCGTGACGTAGGAAGGGGAAACCGGAAATGCGACGTTATATTGTTCCGTGGCTCTATGAAAAAGTGGGTGAACCCTCGGGCAGGCCATCCTTCATTTACAAACAAAGGTCCAGGAAAAAGTTTTCGAAGCGAAGACAATAGGAGTGTGGAAAAAGCACGCGGCGCGCTCGATCCTCCTTTTCACCCTTTTCTCCTGTCTCTGCCCGTCTTCCTCTTTTTCCTATCATCCGTCATGAATGAAATTTCCTAATTTCATCTCTGCGAGATCTTACGTTCCGTGTACATAGAACAACACGTACAGTTCGTGTTGAGAATTTTAGGGGGCCGTTGATATTAGTTGCACCGTGGGTTACATTTCACGGGTATTACCCTCCTTCCCATATTTTTAATTTGATAATTCGTCATTATGTTCTAAAAATAATGGAAATTTTAATTACCCATTTCAAAATTACCCAAAAATTACCGGACGATGATGGAATTAAAATAATTCTCAATTTGTACACACTTTTCTATGTACCGTTTCAAAAACATCGTCCACTTCAGAGCAGAATGTCCTCGAATTACTATCTTCGAGGGAACATCTCGGAAACCGGAAGACTCAATTTTTGACCGATTTTTAGTTTTAATTAAAACGCGATCAGAGGTCGTAAATAAAAATCCCCAAGCTTCAGTTCTTCCGGTTTTACATTGCTAATAAAAAAATTTCATCACTATAAAACGTTTTATGCCGGTTTAAAAAAGGGATAAACAACCATTGCTGCCAAGCATCTGACGCTGCCTGGCAAAAATACACTTCGAATGCCTGGAAGAAGCTGGAGAACGTTTAAAAATTAATCTACTTCGGAAATCTTGAGAAAATTAAGAAAATACTTAAAAATATAGCAAAAGTTAAAAGAGGATCACAAAGTGTAAGGAAATCTTGGAAAATTGAGAGGTACACAAATTTAATGAAATTAAAAAAACATTAAAATGTTGTATAATTAAATTTGATCAAATTAAAAGGGTAGACAAATTTTAGAATATTGAAAGATTAAAGAGTACAATAATTCGAAAGACATTGAGAAATTTAGGAACATTAGAACCCCTTGGAGAGAGTAAAAATTAACCCACTACAGAAATCTTGAGAAAATTAAGAGAATCCTTAAAAATATAGCAAATTTTAAAAGAGGATCACAAAGTATAAGGAAACCTTGGAAAATTGATACACAAATTTTATAAAATTAAAGACACATTAAAATCCTGTATAATTAAAATTTGGTCAAATTAAAAAGGTAGACAAATTTTAGAACATTGAAAGATTAAAGAGTACAATAATTCGAAAGACATTGAGAAATTTAGGAACATTAGAATCCCTTGGAGTGAGGAAAATGGAAGGAAAAGGGGGATGAATGAATAGGAGAAAATAGAAATATGGCGGAAAAGAGGGAAAGAAAAATTTGTAAGCATAAAAGAGAAAGGAAGTAAAAGTGAGCTTTTGTCATCAGCAGGTCTGCTCTAACTGAAAGCAAAGAGGAGCAAAACGTGGCGGATTCGGTGACCCCTCGGCTGTGACCAGAGGCGCACAGGGAATTAGGGCAAGGAAATGCGTGAATATAAAATAGTGGTGTTGGGCAGTGGAGGTGTAGGCAAGTCCGCCCTCACTGTCCAGTTCGTGCAAGGAATCTTCGTGGAGAAGTACGATCCGACGATCGAGGACAGCTACCGCAAACAGGTCGAGGTCGACGGTCAACAATGTATGTTAGAAATCCTAGACACAGCCGGAACGGTGAGTTTTTCTCCACCTATCTTTTCTCTCCCATTATTCCACACGACAAATTGAAAAATTATTCCACCACAAATTTCGACTAATTTCTCAAACGCTTCCCCTCGTTAGCATAAATCCATCGAGTATTTCGTGAACACAAGGTTTCGTGATTTCTGTAATTGATCTGGTATAATCAATTTTTCTAAAACTGGATAATATCAGGTGAAGTAAAAAGAAATACATTATTTTTGCATTCAATTTCATGCAAAATATAAAAATTATATTTTACTATAAATATAGTAAAATATAGTAAATATAAAATATATAGTAAAGTATAAAAATTATATCTTACTTACTACCTTGTGAAAATATTAGGTAAAGTAAAAAGATCCATTATTTTGAAATTGAATGCAAAAATAATGGATTTATTTTTACTTCGCCTAATACTATTCTGTTTTACAAAAATTGATTTGTATTTCTTTTTATAAACACAAATACTGAAATATTCAGCTGGTGGCCAACACTGTTAACTTACTTCGTCTTTCATTATATTAGGTGTAGTAAATAAAATATAATTTTCCTGCGTGTGAAAAATCGCCTAACCGATTGGACCCAAGTCATCGTACTGTAATTTAACACAGATCAATTGCCAAGGAATCAAGGAGCCATTCCGATATAATCCCAGTTAATTACGGGCCGCCATATTAGAATAAATTTTTCAAATATTTTTCATCGTTAACATAAACCTATCGTTGCATAAGAAATCAAGTATCACAAGGTTTTGTGATTTCTGTAATTGATCTGGTGTAACCAATTTTTGTAAAACGGAGTAATATTTTCACAAGGTAGTAAGTAAAATATAATTTTCCCGAGTGTGAAAAGTCACCTAACCGATTGGACCCAAGCCACCATACTGTAATTTAACACAGATCAATTGCCAAGGAATCAAGGAACCAATCCTATCTACCCCCTGTTAATTATCGGACGCCATATTGGAATAAATTTTTCAATATTTTTCATAAGAAATCAAGTATCGCAAAGATTCGTGATTGCTGTAATTGATCTGCTATAATCAATTTCATTGATAGGAATGATGAGTTACATTTAGAATATTCTCACGTGAAACGTATTTGCGAAACGGAATAATATTTGCACAACGTAGCAAGTAAAGTAAGATTTTCCTAAACGATATTGACACGGTGTGAAAAATCACCGAACCGATTGGACCCAAGTTATCGTATTGTAATTTAACACAGATCAATTACCAAGCAATCTAGCGTAACGTTAATTTGCCAAACGAGACGAGTTTGTTGGAAAAAAGACTATAAATCGGAAGCATAATTGAGCAGCCATAGTGCATCCCTTAGTCAGAGACAAAGGGGTCATAAATTAACGGAGTCCTTTCCTTTCCGCAGGAACAATTCACAGCCATGAGGGACCTTTACATGAAAAACGGCCAGGGATTTGTATTAGTGTACTCGATAACGGCGCAGTCGACGTTCAACGACCTGCAGGACCTCAGGGAGCAGATCCTGCGGGTAAAGGACACAGATGACGTGCCGATGGTGCTGGTGGGCAACAAGTGCGACTTGGAGGACGAGAGGGTAGTGGGCAAAGACCAGGGCGTCAACCTTGCCCGGCAATTTAACTGCGCGTTCATGGAGACCTCTGCCAAAGCCAAAATTAATGTTAATGATGTGAGTAGTAGGTGGCCGTCCTCTGCGCCAGCCCCTTTGCCACTTGTCCCATGGGTGTTATTGGAGGAAATGGCTGACTCGTGGATTGTCCATTGTTTCTTGAGAGGTGGAACTCGGTGCTGGCAGAAGTGGAAGATTTAGAGTAGCATTGAAGATCATAGAGGAAGAATGAAGGGCTTTTAATACGTTCCCTGCCTGAAAAGGAGTCTAGTGGCTTGGTGGTGGCCTGTTCTTGATGAGCTAGAAACAGGAGATTCCAGTCCAAATGGGACACAGAGTTGTATTGGAATATTGTAATCTCTTTGCTTGTCCAGTGGAACCTCACGATGTCCCATGTGGCATGGAACGTGTTAATGCTGTAGATTGGAATGAGACATAGCTGAGTAGAACATGTACAGTGCATGCTAAAGCTGTGCAGAGGTCTAAAAGAAGGAAAAAATGGCTGCGCTGTTACAAAATAACAGTAGTTGCTCGAGCAGAGGCCATTGTTGGTTTTTAATTAGCGCTATGTGTGGGAGTTCAAGACCGTTACGAAGGCTGAGATATTCTAATTGAATGTGGGAATGTAATCGCTTAAGTGTGGGAGTATGATTCGCACGTCGCTCTTCTCCAGTTTGTACGAAGTGACTTGCAGTTTACCATCTTTAAAGAGGCAGGAAATATAGAAGGGAAAGAAAATAAAGGTCACGAGAACCATTCGAATGCACGCCTATTTCCATTACCCTGATTAATTTCTTCTGATCTCTTGAAAAATCACTCTATGTCTGCCTCTATGCGGACACTCGTTAAGTCAGTTCATTGGAATACTGTTTCAGCAGTTACAAGAAATTATTTCAAAGTTATCCCGTCGTATAAAAGTCTAAAACGCGGACATTTAACGACTACAATGATTATTTTTCTCGGGACATGTCTCCCTTCGTTTCCCCGTGAAAGGCCTGTCTCTGTCGAGACAGGTTTCTAAAGATTTCACGGTGAACTGTACTTCAGGCAGTTCTGAATAACTTCTCCTCCCCTGAGGATTCATCTCTGGTTTGCTGTGTTTGATTACTTTTGTTATTTCGTTGCTCCGGAACTGCAATTCAGTTGTATAATTGAAGGCGCCCGTTCTCCTGGCTTCTGCCTGAATTTGAGATGCATTGTGTGTGGTTTTGTTTGTTGTATGAAAGCGCGAATGACTGATTAGTTGGCAAGGATAAACAATTTGCTCAAGGGTTAATTAAACTCCCATGGATTATTTGGAAATAAATTTTTATTTACATTCATTATCAACTTGGGTAGAGAATTTCTTTCCATGGACTTCCATGCTGAAACGCATCTGAAGCATCTTTATTTTAATCTGCTACCAATTACACTTAAACTTCTGGTTAATAAGAATAAAGTTCTTCTGTGGGAATAGCTAAATTTTTGTACTATCACAGCTAAAATGGTTCTATCCCATTAGCACGTTTGTAAAGCAAGAATACAAATACTTTCTATGAAATAATTCCTCTACGTAAACTCCATCTGTACATATCCATGTGTAGCTTCTGAGTTTGTCCCCCGAGGTGCATGAAACCTTGACCTGTTAGAGTTGCTGTGCTGATTCTTTCATTGAATCTTGAACCTAGTCATCCCATCATTTTCACTGATGAAATCTTTGAAGATAATCCCTGTGGCTAGACCAAGAGATGAAATTTTATTGCTCTTATAGCTCTCACAAATCCCTCCACCAATAAAAACCCTATTCCTGTTGCAGATCTTCTACGACCTGGTGCGACAAATCAACAAAAAGTCGCCAGAGAAGAAGATGAAGCAGAAAAAGAAATCGCTGTGCCTACTTCTGTAAGGTAGATCTAGCAGAAGCCCGTACTCTCCTGCATGAATAAATTCACAAAAACAAAAAAGCAAAAAAAAGGGGGAAAATCAAGCAACACCAACCAGCAACAGATCCGGATTCAACCAGCGGATGATAATACAGAGGTTCAGGCGATCACGAAGAAAACTAAACCTAGTTGACAAGGAGGGGGCTGACGGTGTCACAAATAAATAGACGAAGAGGGGCAAGACACGGGGAACACGCAAGGAGTCGTTAGAACACCGAGAAGGAGAAGAGAAAGTAATAGGAAGAAGGTGACAACGAGAGACAGGGGCGAGAGAGTGTGAGAGAGGGAGAGAAAGTTAAGAAGAAGGTTGGAGAGAATAAAACAGAGAGAGAAAGAGGGGGGGATGAAAACAGCGAGTAAAAAATTTAAAAAAGAATTAAAAAAAAAAAAAAACTAATAATGTTGTATATACGTTGGTCCCGGGGTGGTTCGTGTGCACGCGCAAAATACAGAGGCGCACAAAAAGTTTTTAGTGTTAACGAGACCCCGTGGCGTCGGTTATCATTGTAGTAGGAGTTTTGCATTAAAGAAAAAACAAGAGGAGGAAGAGGAGAAGATGGCAGGAAGAAGAATAAGTGGGGATAAAGAAAAAGATATGATTAATTAATGATAATATATAGATATATATGTATATATATATGAAAATATTTAAATATATATATATATATGTATATGTATATGTATATTCAAGAGTAAAGGATGAGAAGGAAAAATGAAAAATGTTTGGACGTGCGCGTGCGCAGGCCACCAGCCCCCATGCATCGCCCGCCGCGCACCTCTCTCTTATATATATATATAATATAATAATTATACATAGACGGTACACATACACACAATGAAAAGAAAAACACACAGACAGACAGACATACACACGAATGATTATTATTACTATTATTATTATTATTAATTATTATCGAAGCATCAAAATATTCATAAGTTATATCAACCGTTTGTTTCTCGAACAATATATGTTTTTTCTATATCTCTCCGTATTAAAGCAAATAATAAAAAATCTCTCAGTGAATGTTAAGAAAAAGATAAAAAAACGAAACAAAGAAAAAGCCCAGGCTCTCTGGTTCTCCTCCTCATTGCTACACCTAGACACCTCATTTTTCTCCCTTCTTTTTGTCGATGGTTTATGTTCATGCCTAAGTTTCAGTTCTTGCAATAAATATTGTTCGAAGCGTTATAAGTTACTAGATCGAAGATTCTCACGAGCGTACACCACTTGCCTTCTCAATTTCTTGCTTCGTTTCGAACGTCTCAAGCCTTTCCGTTGTCTCTGTACCTAGCTAAATTTATATCTTCACGTGAAATATTGAGCGATGACGTGCATTCACGTTTCATGTTTAGGTCTCTACCATGTACCCGTTGCGTGCACTGTAAAGATTTCTAGCTTATCGAAATAGCCTTAGAAACGATGACAAAATGGCCAATCGAGCACAAAATAGAATTTTATTGAACGAAAAATAAACTAATACACCTGATTCTCCATGCGAAGAAATTAAGGGAAATAAGAAGGACGCCCTGTGTCTGACAACGTGTGTATAGAATTGAGCACATCCAAAGAGAACTCAACAACCTGTACCATCGACTACAACTCCATGCACCAGAACATTGTGACAATGGCAAAACCACTGAGAACAACCTGATAAGAAGCTTCCCTCCACGCAGTGGAGTGACTGGTCACGTTACAACAATTGTTCGTCGCCTCTTCAAGAACCATGGGATAGTATTCATTCCAGAAAGCCAATGCTTTGTAATCGATAGCGTTAGAATTGCCCATGTCGATGTTCTTATCGATGATCAAGATTCCAGGCTCTTGTTCGGTATAAGATTCCCATTTAACGTTACTCAGGGAAGGATTACCAACCCTGGCGAAACTAGCCAGCATCGTCATCACCACCTCGGCCATTTTCTTGTCAGCAAAGTGCCACTGTATAGAGCTGCCAGTGATCAGGGGTAGACCCCAAACGAATGGAAGCTCAAACATATGGGGAACCCCGGCCCATTCAGGCACATCTTTGGTGATGCTCTGTGTTTTGGGTCTGTAGTCAAACCTGTAAACGAATGCCAGCTTCTCCTTGGACACCTTACTAGCCAACAGAGTGAGCCCTGCTGCAAAATTTTTCTCCGTTTGCAGGTCCAAGTACCTGTCCCGAAGTACACCTTGATCCTTGCTCGGCGGGTGAGGTTTATAAAAGAATAACACCGCCTCGGTCACCATTTCTGGCTTCAGTTCACAGGTACTGTTGTCTTCCGGGTTCTGGACCAGTGATTCAAACTCGCCATTGATCAGCATCTCAAAGTCGCTGAAGGAAAGTTCGCCATCTGCTTTTCCCTTGCCTACGGATTCCATGTAGGCCAACGCCTGTTCGTTATTCGTGTAACCAACCAGTAGAGGAACAGAGTTCAAAGTGCCACTTTCTAATGCGTCTTTTGGATGCGTAGGCAGGAACGGATCCGTGAAGTTGTTGGTCTCGTTGTCTACAATGGGGCCCCAAGTCTCTATGTCTGAGGACTCGCGGACCAAGACATTCACATCCACTCGACGAAGACACTCCATCAACGCTGATATAGGCCGTCGATAACAACCAAACTTCTCAGCGATGATGTCGACCACCGATAGCTCTGCCTGGGGTGAGCCTACGGAGCTCACTGCGTCTCCGCTCATGGCAATGGCCTTAGAAAACTTGCCTTTGCTCAAGGGACTCACCAAGTGCAGACCCACGCTTATGGCTCCCGAGCTGTGACCATAAATTATCACATTGGACGGGGAGCCACCGAAATGTTGGATCTTTTTCTGGATCCAGTCCAGAGCGGCTATCTGATCGAACATGCCATAATTCCCTGGAGCCTCTGCGTCCGTGGTTGTGAAGAAACCGAGGATATTGAGACGATAAGCCACCGTGACCACCATGATCTGGAGAGGATGATTATTAGATCGTTAGCGTATTAGAGTTAGAAATTCTAAGATGTTTTTTCGGAATGATGAGCGAGAGGCAATATTGTTACGGATAGGTTAAGAGTTTCGAAGTTACATGTTCCTTCTTAGAGGGGTTAGGATCGTTCAACTGCGGAAGATTGCGGTTTATATTTTCTGAACCAGTTTTTTTTAACTTTCTGTAGATCAGATTTTGATGAAAAGGAGCTTCGAGAGATTAGGAACGTGTGGATGTTAAGTTACGAGTTAACCTATAAATTCAGTCTGCTTTAACAGTACGTTAGATAGGAAAATGTTTATAAGGTAGATTATTAATATTGTCTATATAAGATTTTCTATTATAATGTCGTTTTTACATTGCTTTGTAAGACTATAAATGAATTAGTAGTGTTAGAAAAGTTCTTATAATATAGTTAGATTATGAGGCCCCCTGTATTACTGTATGATACATCGTTGTACGTTTCTATAACAATTTTTAAGAGTCGTTAAACGTGTTCCCTCAATAATGAATCCGCGTTAATAATGTTTTCGTGGCCGTTGTTCCTGAATTAGCATTTACAGCGTTACCTAAGACTTGCATCATGGATGAATGGTAGCCCGTGCGTTTTCAAAAGGTCGAATTTACCTTGAGTTAGCTAAAGCACGCAAGAAACACCCTAATTTCCTTCGATTTTCTGTCGACTTTTAACATTCATCCCGATTGATTCACGATCAGGACTTCTTTTCTATAGTATGTACAGGATATAAGGTCAGAACGTTACTTGTCAAACACAAAACACCTTTCTCATCTAAAAACATTGGAATTTACACTTGTTAGATGATATTCGAATATGATATGTATTAATAATTCACAATATCTCCTTTCTACTTCAAAGAAACTTCAACTTAGATTTTTACTTTAGATACTTGAAACAACCTGTACATGTAATTTTGTAATAATCGTTTGTTATGTTTATATTTTTGGAATCCACTTGTGGTAGATGAAAATTGTAATTTTATGGACCTTTTAAAGTCTAATATATTTGTTAAGCAACTCACTTTATGTTTGCTGACGAAAATCGACGCATCCCATATGGCAGGAGTGCCGGTGTTGAAGTCACCACCATGAAACCACACCATCACTGGCCATCCATCGTCTGGTCTGTTCCCTAGGAGAATTGAAATCCACATAGTATAGAATATTTATAGCCCGATACAACCTAATTATTTAAACGATATCTCAATGATAACGATTTGCATTTTGAAATTTCTGTATAATTTAAAATTAAAAAGACTTAATGTTTCCCATTCAATTGCTTCTTGATTGTAGTCCGTAGCTGTTTATCGTCATTTTATAAGACTGTCTGATTATTTGCCATTCGATGAAGCAACTAAACAAACTGGAATAATAAAGGGGAAAAAAAGCAAGAATTATTGAAAACTCGACGACGCTATTTCGTAGGAGAAATTCGAGGATTTAACGAGGCTGCATTCACGAATTCCTAAGATCGCGGAGAACGCGTGCGTGCCCGCAAGTATGCATCCCCATTTCCGGTCAAACCGGTGAATCGATCGTGACAGAATTTGCATACCGTCATCCTTCGCCACCGATCAGCCGTAGTAGACGTTCGAAATCATTCAGGATGACCAAATTCTCGCAAACCAATGAAAATTTTATATGAAAATATTAATCAAATTAATACTGCGAGGTAAACGTTTGAGATTTTGGTGGAAGTTTAAGTGCTTTTGAATATACTGGAAGTTTCATAATTGGACAATAATAGAATAAGTTAAATATATAATACTAACGCAGCAATATGGTTGGATATATTAAAAGTCTCCCTATTGAATTTATTAATAAAGATTCGAAGAGTTTTGAAGCACCCTATACAATGCTGAAAGAACAAGTTACTAAACAAACCTGTCTGTCGTAATTAATTCTACATATCTGACCACAAGCATCGATCCCTAACCTCAAAAAATTACGACAAATCCTCTAAGGCTCCAGGAAAATCCCATGTTACTAGATAATTATCCATAATCTGCTCGATCGCCATACTTGGAGAATGGTTAGGCGATAGCCAGTTGAAAAGCTGAAAATTTCACGAGGCAGTATCAGTTGAATCGAAAGGCACGAAGCCCATCTGGCCGGTGCTACCGCTTGAATAATTAATTTCGGTGATTTCTTCCAACGGGCTGTATACCGCGTGGCGTGTGGCCGGTTTTTGAAGCGTGCCAAGGTCGAGGAAAATTCAGGCCATTGCTCGGTGGGATGCTTTAGATGGCATGATAACTGTAGCAGACGATAAAGGTTCGGTAACCGGAAGTTTGGCCTGGTCTTCGTTATCGGTGCCCCCTCTGATGGCGACTGAACCATCCAAGAATAACCTCTCACGGTGATACAGCTCTGCCACAACGATTCATTAGAACGCTTATCACGATTGTACACGGCACGAATCTTTTTCCACGTTCACGTCTGGTTGGTTGGTTGAATGGAAGAATTTGTTTGCAGTTTTAGCTTCATTTACGTAGGTCAGGAGAAGTGAGATGTTTCATGATGCCAGCTGTGAAGCTTGTTAATTTAAATTCTACATGTGAGAGGTTAGGCGAGGAGTTTCAGGAGGCTTCATGTGAAATGTTATGTGGAGCACAGTATGATCTTGTGTTTGCCAATGAGAGTTCCAAGTGATTGGTGGTATTTGAAGAATAATTATTGAAAAAGTATGCAATGGATGAGACAGGTAAAAGAGAGAAAAATGCCTGCGGTTGAACTACTAGGGATGCTGTATTTTGGAATACACACAGGTGAAAGCTAAAAGATTGAAATATTAGATTGGATAAATTGGGACTAATTGTTATGTATGAACTCTATGTTCTCCATTTACCAAATTCAAATGAGACTTAAAGGACTCATAAGGTACAGCATACAAATTAAGTCTAAAAATAAGGACAATTTTCAACATATAACCCAAGCTTAAAAATCTTTACTCAAGACAGCTCTATCTATGAAATTCAATCAAGTGCCTAACATAACTACAGTCTTCAAGTACAGGCCATCTAAATATACCACAGAAGTTACCCCTTTGTAACATATTTCTCCTACCCAAAATTTCCATAAAAGAGTTTTATTGACGGTTAAAAAACGATTACTCGTTTACTGTGCGTAGACCTATTTCTTTTATTTAAGAGATTCATAAAAAATGTTGGCCAAAATTAGGAAAGACTAATTTGGGGGGATTCGGTAATAGTGGGGGCACAAGGGGCAAGCAGTTAGCCAGGACAAGAGCGGCGGGGGTGGTTTCGTGACCGGCCTCAACAGTATCTTAACATCTCGACCAACCCTAAAAGATCGCGTGCCACGACGTGCGCCAGTTACTGTTACTCTTGCTCCTTGCTGTTTCTATATCGACCGGGGTCGGCTTTGCAGGATCGACACGATTTCCCGATTCGCCGGTTGTCCCCTATCCTATTTCCCCCCTTTTCAAGCCGACCACCGTGACACGCGTACCTTGCACGCGTTCATTTCTTCTTAGACCCTCTACAGGGTGATACTATAGTACTACATAGCTTCTGTGATACCCTATGTCATACGATCAACAGCGATCATTGATCACATCAAGATCACATCATTAATTAATGCAGGGTCCAGAAAGACTTTCATTAGGAGATACAGTTATTTAAGGTTTCCATCACTTGATTTCCTAAATCTCTTCACAACAATACCGAAGTGGCCGCCATCTTGAATGCAACTGATGATAACGCTATAAATTGATTTCATACTTTTAATTTTAATTTTGTCAACCGACTATATGGATCTTTTGCTATTTTTTCACAGTTTTTAGTAGGATAAAGTACCTCGTGGAGTTTATGCAACTAGATAAGCACATACTCGTTGGGACTCGTTATTTGAATCACCCTGTACAATGATTTGTGACTTGAAAGTTATTTCTAGTGCAGAACTTGGGTATATATTTCTTCTGCTGTAAGAAAATAAGGAGTAATTAGATTATGGTGGTGATATTGTGAATTTAAGGTTATCCCCTGAATTTATCTTTTTATGGAACCTTTATGATACCATTTATAATTAACCTTCTCAAAGTAATTCACATTGCTATAAGCTTGAAACTATTCTCTAAGTTGCTCCTTTCCTCCCCCATAATTCCTAAAGTAATCAAATCCAGATATCTAGACATGATTTACCGCGTTCCTAACCTCCTCGATTCGCCGATGGAAAGAGCAAAATATTCAGTAAATTGACCCTTCTACGTATTGACAATAATTGCTACCATAAACCTGTCCTGTATTGCTGATCGACTTGATTTATAGTTCCACACACGTGTTTCTCCTCCATTAGCTATCTTTCAGACCAATCTCACGATCTTCGCTTTCTTCATTCGCTATGCAATCGAACAAAAGTCCTTATCTTCTTTCTATTGTAACCATTTCCACTTTGAACTTTTTTATGCTTCATGAAAGTTTAATAACGTAACTATATAAGCAAAGGGAACCATAGGCAACGTCCTCGACCTATATCGAGGACTTATAAAAATATGATAATCTCATGGCAGGAGTTTATCAAGGATTTCCCTAAACTACAGAAAATTATAGCGTCCAACTTTTCCATCCCGATAGCCGCTTATTCTACCAGTGTATTACACTAATCTCGACAATCATTGCACAAGGAGTGTATATGTCACTTAGATTGTTATATGCGCCAAGTAAGTACTATCAGTGAGATCAGAAATTTAACCTTTGTATCATATAATCCTGTAACCTCATGGTAATTTATAGCCTGAAAAGAATAAAGAGCAATGAGAATGGAACATAAATGAATGATAAACATTTCCTATGGAAAAGTACCTTTTTCTACTGGTAATGTCACGTTCTTCTGTTATCGATTGAAAGAGGTTAGGTTACAGATTGCAACCTTCGAAAGTTTAACTTTCTTTTGCGATTTACGAGGGCCACCGTGCACGAGACATCCGAAATTAGCTGAAAATGATGCTCGTAATGCCGCTATTAGGCTAGTCCTTAACCGACATCCTGAAACGACGAGATTAACGTACTGTTGACACGCAGATCGTCGCATTTATTGTCAATCGAGAAATTGGACCAGAAAATTGTTCGATAGGTCATGGTATACAATTTACATCAAATTTCTAAGCAAAAAATACATGCAGAATATAGTAATTATTCGTTCAATATGTTGTAGATTGCAAGCATATGTTTTCTGAACGAACAGTATAGTTGAAAGTACAGAGTAATAGAGTTCGAAGTGGGGGTGTATTGTTTGATGACTTTTTACACTTGGCTGACTTTAAATGGGCTATAGATAGGCCTTGAAATATTTAAGATAATTCCACGTATAACTTTCAACTGATCTCTAAAAAATCCTAGCTTATGGAATTTCTAAACGGCATTTCAGATCATATTAATCAAGCTGAACTGTTATTGCAATTTATCATAAGTAAATATTATAACCATCATGATTCTCACCTTTCATTTACCATATAAAATATTTACATAATTTACATAGAACTGAATTCAATTTGACGCCATCTTTTATCCAAAAAATATTACTTCTAATTATTTCCAAATTAATTATAAATTTTAAACCGAATAACCTCAAACACACCACGTACACTTTTCTAATTTCCTAATTCTATGACTCAAACTCCTGAAATACCTCTTTCAGCCAAACTACAAGTACCTATACAACATGATTAATTTTTCACACGAGTCTGATAAAAAGAAAGGAAAAACCAGTCCACTTTTCTCGGTCCTTGACAACGTTCTAATCACAAGTTTTTCTTTAAGGCGAGATAACCATCGAGTCACACCACTTCTCTGCACGATATATCATCAGAGACTAAGAAACAAGTCAGTGATCATTGGCATTCGCGTGTTCCAATGAATTAAGTTTCGGACGAGAGGAAACGCTGTCGTGTCGAGTATCGAGAGTTTCATCGACTCTGTCGTTATCTACGTCGTCGAGAATTACGATTACGCGCGGCTCTTTGTGTCGAACGAGCTGGTAAACGCGATCCCAACGTTTTCTCTTGAGCTAATAGTGTTGCGTTGCTAAGTGGTTAATGAGGGCTACGAGAACTGGTTGTTTTAGATGAAAGGCTAGTTTGTTTATTTCTTGAATTCTCCAGCGAATGTTGAAAAGTTATGAAAGCTAATAGCCGTGGTACTATATCATTTCCGTTGTGTAAATTGAAGTACTTTTTCGTCGAAATTAATCGATTGTTAAAACGAAGGTAATCGAAGATAATCGAGAATCGAGGGACAATAGGATTTTTTTAGTATCGATTTTTGTATAAGGTTAAGTAGTTATAAATGAGATAATGATCAATATCATCATTTAAGGTAATGAATGATTTTGCTTAAAAATATTGTTTTTGTCTAAAAGTAACCTATTTCATTTATTTCAGGAATATATGAATTTAAATACTGTGATGCCTGCTTTCCTTTTTTATGATAAATAGAAAGATGACTATATTTATCAATATTTTTTATGAATTATCTTCGCATCTTTCTTTATAATCACAAGGTTTTTAATTTAAGAGAAAATTATAAATTGCAGAGAAAAATGTTCACGGTGATAAAGATATCGATAATCGAATTTTAATTTCACTTACCATCTGGAGTAAAGATGTTCAGGTATAGACAATCTTCGCTAACTCCAGGATCAGGTTGATCTGGCGGTAACAATCTTTTATAGTGTTTCTCGTGTAGTTTCAGATTGTTGGTCATTTGCATACATGATGGTGCAAACTGTGTTGCATTTCGTACGCCTTTCCAGGATGGCAGGGGGTCGGTAACAGGCGCAGCAAAACGTAATTTTCCTAGTGGTGGCTGAGCATAGGGTATTCCTAAATATTGTATCACCTTCACGGTGAGACTTAAAAAAACCTGAAATTTAAAAAGAATTCTTTTCTACTTATATAAGGATAAGAATCACCATTTAAAAATGGTAAGTTTTCTAAGTTTTCTATTTTATATTTTTTTGCGTTGATAATAATAAAAAAAAAGAAAATTAGAAAATGAAAGTTGACTGAAATTTTTTTTATATATATGTTTCAGATGTTTCAACCAGTTCCGAATAATTGTGTTAGAAAAATAAAAGGAATCAATTCACAAAATCATATGTTTTTTCCTGTTATCGTGAATTCTGAGGAAACAACTAACTACTGGGAAATATTTCTCCACAGTACATAAAGTTACACGTGACAAATTACATTTTTACGTAAAATTAAGAATAATTGCACCGAGTGAGCCGCAATCGGAACTTCAAAACACTCGAGCTTAACATTAGGTTTCAGCACAATATAATAATCACGGATTCGTTTCGTGTGAGCAATTAAAGTTACATTACTCATTGTTCGTACGAATTCTCGCGATTTTTATCGAATCTTCGCGGCTAGTTTTCATCGAGTACAGTAATATAGAGCAGAAATAGAATGGAACATTTTTAAAAAAACATTTTCTCGATTTAATTTGAAAATTATTCAAATGGAAATGTTTTAATAGCTGTACTTAATCCATAGATATTTATAATTAGAATGTTGCAATTGTTAATAGCTTGAATTAATTTCTTCTTCTGTTTCCTTCATAGAAATTCTTTCTCGCACGCAAATAAACGTGTCGATCAATAGATGACGTATCTATTAATTGGAATGTCCAACCACTCACACGGAGAAGCAGTTTTCTAGGAACGAAGGACTATGTAAAAAAAAGCATGGTTATGCATAAGGACGAAGTAATACGAGTTCGAGGAACTTTTTCTTCGGCTATCCGAGATTCCATAGCTGCACGAAATTCTCGAAAGAATGGGGAATAGGAGAAAAAACTAGCGTATAATATTAAAATTCATAAATGTTGGCCGAGTTAAGTATTCATCGTGCATATTATCTGCATATATTTAGTTGGAACAATTGAAACTTACGATGCTTGCATGTTATGGTTCGTCATGCGGTTAAAATGTCAAATACTTATTCAGATGCGGCTTTCTCGTTTCACCATTTCCATGTGGGACAGTGATATATGCGTTCCGGCTATATAGAACTCGTTCCTTATGCAAAAAAGATGTTATTAAAACAAATGATACGAGAGTTCAAAGGGTAGAAACGCGGTAATACGAACTGCACGGCTTTAATCAGATTTTGTCGCGGGAGATTTATTTGGTGAAAATCTAAAAATACAAAGGAGGGTAGTAGCTGTTAGAAGGGTCCCTCTGTTTGAACTTCCAACTTCTCGCGAAATTTGTTTCCCATATTTGCCCAAGACCGCTAAAAATATGTTCATTCTACGCTATTTTTAAATTAATAGAACTTTCATGAACTTAAAAAGAAGCAAATTATGAAACTTTTGGCCAAAAAACGGGAATAAAAGAGCTAAAAATAAGTAAAGCTTAGTGTAGGAAGTAAGCTTCCACAGCAGAACAAAGAGTAAGAAAGATTCCGAACTTATGAAAGAAACATAATATCAAATTTCTGACAAAAGGTTCCAAGGTAATCTGGAAAACTCTACAAAACTGAATGCACAAAGAACCCCCAATTGGAAAAAGAATCTTCCACAAATATTTCACCCCTTAAGAAAGCAAAACCTACATAATCTCCTCTCTCTTTTCCAGTTCCGATATTACCAGCAACCAAATTCTGCGGAAACCTCTCACATATGTACACCACCCCAATACAAGTGCAGTAATGCATGGAGAGAACTGAAGACTTTTAGATACAAACTCATCAAGACAAAAATACCTGCAATCCGGATGTCAAGTTACCTTTTGCCGCTTAACAAATTCAATCTTACTAAATTAAACAAATAATACCCAAGGAAGATCCCCAAAGACCGGTAATACCTTTGAATACCTTTGATTCGATCGCCTAGCAACCCTCGAAACACTTAAGTATGACACTCGACTGAAATTAACCATGCGAAAAATTGCAGTAAAATCATCGCACCTCGTTACCAGCCACCGATCCTTGCTCCGAGATCCTGACAGTAGGCTGCTCCCGGCCCAGTCCCTGCCTCGCGTGGGTCCTTTGGGAGTGGACGACCGGTAACACGGCGAAGAATCGCGGGAACAACGCGAAAAGCAGCCACGCGGGACACCTCATTCTGCAGACTGACTGATTTGCCACGGAAACAATCGGCGTCTTGGCTGTGGGGCCTCGGTTCAAGCCTCGCGTGACTCCAGTCGGCCACCCTCGGCCAGATTCTCCTAAGCCTCGGGGCTCGAGACCTGCGCTCTTTCACCTGCGGCTCTCTTGCGTCGTACAGGTCCCGTGCTAGCCACTGCTCAACCCTTTATGGTGACACGGTGTTCGATGGTCTTTGCTAGCAGAGGAACTTCAGGCTTAGAGGAACTTGAGAAGAGACTTAGGTTAGACATGTCGAAGGGGATGTGCTTCTTGAGGTTTTAGGGAAGCAGTAGATCTGTGTGCTTGTGTAACAGTAGGGTTGTAGTGGGTTTAAGTGGATTGAGGTTTGAATTGGAGTCTTGAATTAAGATGTTAGCCTTGAGAGGTAGCTTTAGGTGGGGTGTTGAGTCGGAGATATAAATGGGCATACTGTTCAGTTCATTTCTGAGAAACTGAGCGTTTTAAGAGATTTTTGGGTTTGATATTAGAGGCCAGTTGCTTTGTTACTATCTGGAATTCGAGTCTGAGAGATACCATTCTGTCGTTGAAGAACAGCTGTGTTCTGAGAAATTATTGTTTTGTTGGAAACAGGGTATTTTGTCTTTCAACGTTTTCTATTATTTATTTCTCTGCATTCCGGCTCAAATTTAAAGCAAGTGCGCGCTAATAAGCGATACAACATTGGTGCTTAAGCATACACGCGAGTTGAGCCTAAAATATCAAGATCGTGGCGGCATTATTTACACGTGTACTTAATAAGTCTCGAACCGTATAAAGCTACGTAAAAGCCATTTACACGCAATGAAATTGCGTGAAATGCTTTATCCTTGCTAGAAAAGGAACACCGTCCGAGGTGAATGGTAGAAAAATCGACGAGCTGTTAAGTCTTCGTATTTCGAAGGTTTATCGCCGAATCATGACGCGTTCATTTAAACTTGGATTCGATTTATCGTAGAAACGAGAATTTCCAATATCCTTCAATTTTCTTAAGTGAAACTTCAATAGGATAGGATCGAACGTTATTTTCAGACAGAGATTTCAGAACGATAAGGGGAGAAAAAGACGGAGGATAGAAGGAAGACGGATAAAGGAGTGATTGAAAAGGGTACCGGTTAGCGTGACCGCAAAAATCGAAGAAACGAAGAGATAATGAGCGGGGGCATTAGGTAATATTCGCGTCCGACATAGGTGAAAGGTGATATTGTAGTTTGCGGACTGATGGCGGCCAATTAGGCCGATGAATTCAGGGTTGGAAGGAGTCAAAGGCACGGAAAGAATAGACTATTGAACGTGACCCAAAATTTTGTTATTAACCCTCTGTAACGCCGTGTGATTTAAAACTTACGTGCTCGTGTCTTTCATATTTCTGATGTGCAATTTCATCCCTTTATCGTCGGATAATTATATACTCGTATTGTTAATACGTTATTGTACCGGTGGCTACAATTTGTTTATAACGATAATCGACTAGGATAGTTTATTTTTCCGTTACTACGTGTTAATAATACGGTTAGGATTACGTAGAATATTTGTCATTATCGTGTTTGATATTATTCATCACCGATAATATACCGAGATTAATTTTACTTTTATTATTGTTATTAATACGAGCGTTAAATTATGGTTATTACTAATATTAATGGTACTGGTATAGTTACGTAAATCGGTCAAGAATTTTATACACCCTGTGCATTAGAGAGAAAGTTGATGCTAATTATGGAGACGTATTCAAATTTCAAATTTGCGGTGTTCTGCAGGCAATTGTTCGACCTCACGTAAACGTAGGCTAATTATGCAGTTATTTTTGCATTATTCAATCTCCGCTTATCTCGAAATGTAAAAATGAATCAGAAATTTTTAATATTATACATTAGAGGAATGTCAATAATGCTCGTCTGCACGATGTTACTAGAAGCGTATTTCTAGGGAAATGACTTTCCCATCAGCCTAGGTTAAATAAGACGATCGATGTATGCATGTTCGAATAATAATTTCGCGGATACACTGGGCAAGTGTCCTTGAAAATCGATATCGAGGGTCTTTCGCCTCTGTGGCGTGGTAACACGCCATCGTCAAAATGCAATCTTCGTGCTAATGTCCCGAACTAACGTGACCTTGAACTTCGTGTCGTCAAAAAATCTTCAAGATCTCGAAAAAGAATAATTCATGCATCTGCGAGAGAAAAAGCAGACGTGAACGTGATTCTTAATGTTCTTTCAGCGTTTATCTCGTCGATCGCGAGTTGCAAAGGTCTGTTGCACTTGAATCGCGAACGTCATGGTGTTGACGATGTCGATGGAACACGGATTCTCTTGGTCAAAATTTTTAATTACAAGCCCTTCAATAGCCTTTCCTAGTTTCTATTTCATTTTAATTGGAATTTTTTGATTAAACGATTCGACCTTGAAAGCTCAAGTCTATTAAGTTTTTACTTGGGGGCATAGGGGTTATTAATCTCTGATCTTAAAAAGTGAAGGTTGACAACCTGTATTTAAAAGCGCAGGGCCGATAATATATGTTCTTGGACACAGTCAATGTTCTTTTTCTTTAATAATGAAAGTTCAAAGTCAATAATTTTCTGTTTCAGATTTTTTTATATTTAAATTGTTGCAATTATCTGATATAAATATTGATTAGGAATAAATAGCACGCACGTTATTCGACTAATTTTAAATAGAAACGACATATTAAACGGTGAAAGTTTATTTCATTAATTTGATACTGAAAAGGAAAGGAAATTCCCTTATATTGAAAGAAAGTGATTCAGTTTGATGTTCGAGATCGTTGCGCCACATGTTGCCTTGAGGAAGTTTTTGTAGGCCCCTTATGGTAAAAAGATCTCGCTGCACAATCGGTAACGAAGGTATGCTAGTTAAAAATATCTCAAACAGGAAACGTTTGATGTATTAAATCTAAAGAACTAAAAATATTATACGACTCTTATGTACTCGTATAACAATAACTTCGAATGAAGCTTTTATACTGTACATAGTGTTCGTATATTATTTACGATATCACTATATTAATAACACAAATATTTAACGAATATTATTATATATTAAATTATATTTGAATTCGACTTCATAATATTTTTAAATTACGAGCGTCATGATGTTTTCTAACAATATCTTCTGCACATGCGCATACATCGAAAACCAGTAGTGGGGGAATAGAATTTCAACTCAGTGGGGGAAAGTTACTGTTAGTCCATATACGTCTCTTATTCGAATGTTTTGTGCCGCGGTTGAGTTTATTCGCGATCGAGCAGAAATATCAATTTTATTCAAAATAATGTCGATTACAGGTAATGCACGATAAACAACCATACACATAATCCATATAGTATATATTTATAAACATAACATTCATTTTATTTCATCATAACTAGTCGACAATTTAGTAGAAATTAATATGCGCAGTATATAGTTCCCGTGTTCGAAAATCTCGAATAACATAATTTTCAGATTTTTTATATAACGATTGAACATTTTGTTTTCAGCGTTGCCTATTAACTATCGATAAATTCTAAAAGAATATTCTATAATTCACAAGTGGTCAAAGTTGAAGCGATTAGGCCGCCATATTATGACGTCATCTTGTTCATAACATTTGGCGGTTAACGTATCGTTTAAAATTTTACATTGACTACCGTTCCGTTTCGTCTTACCGTAGGTATTATAAATAAAATTCAAAGGACATAAACTCTTTAAAAGATAGCTATTTATTTAAATATAATTTTGTAAATGCATTTCAAATTCATATATCTCAAAATAAATCACTTCCAAAATTCTCTCGAATGGCGGTCTATTCGAGCGCCACCTCCCTGACCACACGGTTCAACGCTAATATAAATCTGTTTCTCAATACTTGCAGTTACGTATCGTCCGAAAAGTGAGGCGCGGGAAGACCGGAAAAAGGCGCAATAAGAAGCAGCATCAGCCAGCCGACGCAGGCGGGCGGCAGCGCACCGTGAAGGGTTAAAAATACATATTCGATGGTCCTAATTCAATGACCGGCCGGCGTACGGCGATTTACATGAACGGCGCTCGCCTCCGTCGAGGACAGTCGTTGCATTGAGCGACTCGCCGGCGAGCAGAGCGGAGGAACGCGCGAGTAGAGAGCGAACGGTTTAGTGTATGGGTTGGTGGCGGCTGTTTGCCGATTCGTTGACTTGCCGGCACGGTCGGTCGGCTCGGGTCGAAGGCTGCCGCTCTCTCAGTCCGTCTCGCGACCGCGTGCTAAGGGGATGTCGTTTCTCCTCTTCCTTCCGTGATCCCAATTAATCGATCGTCCGTTGTTTCTCACGTTCGCTTTGTCCTTCGCGATTTCTCTACTCATCGGGTGAACCGGTGGCGCGTGCGCGATATGTGACGTGTGTTCGACGGATCGACACTCAGAGCAGCACCAGTAAGGACGACTCTGTGCCTGTGCTTTCTTCCGTGGACCAGTGACAACGAGAAGGAAAGGATTGTTGGTTGGGTCGCTTGTGTGTGGCTGTTCGCGGGAAAAATCGTGGGGATTTGATGCGACGAGATGGGCAGCGAGGCGGACGCGGAGACCACGGCTACCAACGCCGTGGATTCGGATGGATCCGTTAGCTGGGAGGACTTTTTCGGTAAGTTTCTTTCATTCGATAATCGTGCTTTGTGTTTCTAACTATATAGTTCCGTTTATACGCGCGATCTGTGGATGCGTACGCAGCTATGTTTCGTCTGTGTGAACGTGTCTGTGAGATCTAACCGTCGTGACATTGCTGCTATTTCGTACATGGCGAATTCGACGTTTCGGTTGACGCGAAACAATAGAAATCATCGAGAGTGAAGCTCTCTTCGTTGTGCGGCTTCGATAACGTCCCGTAAAGGTTATGGATATGCAACAGTTTTCAGGTTTCTACAATGTAGTTTCAAGTCGGCTGCGCGCCGGTTTTTATTACGAACACGTGCGTGGTTATTGTTAGGTTATACGTTAGGTTATACGTGGACGTTATTACGAAACAATAAATAATACGAGTGAAACGTGGGATTTGCTGAGAGAAAGATTACATTTTAATTGAATTCTGTATAATAAAGGGAAGAATGGGATATGTCGTTTCGTACCATGGCGACGATTCACGAACGGTAGCGAAAAGAAAGCGCCAATCATAACGCTTGTAAACGATCGTCGCGTGTTTATTGTCTTTAATGCAATCGCGCGTCTTGCTTCGAGTGGATAATTCGTCTCGTTACGGAACGAGGGTAACGTGATATGAAGCATGTTTAAAAGGAGGAAAGGCTAATATTTTAGTTATTGTACTCGATGAGTTAGTTTAAAAAATATTAAATATAACAGCTCATAATTAGAATCTGTGTTTTTATTTGGAATAGTCACACCGCATGGCAGTATTAAAGGTTAGGTTGCAGGATCGTATTATAATATGAAGTATTCGGGTAAAATGATTTACTAATTACCTTCGATGATGATATATAAGATTTGAAACCACTAGAGCATAATGTCGGATATAAAATATTATTTAACATAGAAATAACAACGTAGCACATACATAGGCACTTTATATTATCTTTTCTCGGAATATAACACGCGAATTAGTTAGTTATCTGATTTTTACACTTACTTTGATTTTATGGTATAGACATATCGTTGTTATAACAAAAATTACTTAGTTTTTGGAATTTTTAATTTTTTTATATCAAAACGAATAGGGATGATTAGATTAAAATTTAATTTCTTAAAATTTATTTTAGTATAGTGTTTAAAAATAAAGGCATGAGGCGTACTTATTTGGAATATTTAATTTTTTTGCATTAATTACGAACGAAATTTGTTGCTGACTATAAATATTGCAATTTTTTATGAAAATTACGGAAGAACAGTGAGTAAAAAATTGAATTCTTGGAATTGCAAAATTAAAGATCCGAGCATCATGTTGATAACAACCATTGCGGACATCGATATTATCGATAGAAATAAGTGTATTGACTGAAGAAATGTATTGAGTTTGATAAATATAACGGCGGTTCTCAAGCACGTGTGCGCGCGCAACGTGATGAATTTAAAAATTTTTGTCAAATAACAATGATAACGATGTATTCAATGGCAAGGAAAATATAAATTCATAATGGAAAGTCATAAAGGGATAGAATTTTTATGAGCAAATACAACAATTCCTCGAAAGTCGTGTTTCGATTAGATTGTTACGAAATCTGTTATTTCTGTGTGCATTTCAGAATTTCGAAAGTCGTATCAACATTAAACATGCAATATCGCAAAGAAAACAAATTTCTTTCGTAATTTCCTTTCCACGGACAAAATAAAGTTTATTATTAAAATAAAGTTTAAATTTGTTTAGTCGTAAAATTATATTTAAAATTTTCATTTTTTCCTTTACAAATCATAGTGAATCGAATTGAGAAAAAATTCAAAGAAATTAACAATTCTTCCAAATTTTTATTTTGTCTAATAGTTCGTTATTCTTTGGAAAAGAAAATTTTGAAGAGATTTTCATTTTCAATGTGTTTGGGTTATATGTGTACTTTGAGACGACCTGTAGTTTCGACTTCGCTTTGCCCCTTTTTTGGTTTCGTTATTAAAATTGCGTGCGAATAGTGTACTTTATTGCGTGGATTGCACCGTGAACGGGATAAGAGAGAAACTATTGGAAAAAAGTATATCGATACCAATTAAGGATTTCCCTAAAAGAAACACAGCGATAATCAACGTTGCTTACTTTCTACTTGTAAAAAGCGATAATAAATATTGCGCAGCTTGCTCTCTTTTCTCGTTCCCTTGATTATACAGACATAGAGGTCTCGATGTTTAAGTTTCCACAAAAGCCACAGTCTTATAAAGCAAGTGGAAAAAGATAAAGATTCCGCCAAAACATCTGGTCTAGGAAGATGGCGTCTGCCCTACCCCCACCACCACATCACCGTGCCCCTACAATCTTCCCAGTTTGATTTATCACCAACTATGGAAGTTGCATTTAAATCAATCCAATAGAAGAAAAAGAACTAATACTAGAATATCTGATAAATCAACAAATACAAAAAAATATACAAAAGAACAAAAAGTAAAATCAGCCCCAAAAAAAAATTTTTAGCTACAAACAAGGTACTGAATATTCTAAAATAATCGAAAGAAATATCGATCGAGATATTTTAGACTAGACGGGAGAAAACGCGGACGGAAATTAAAAATTCGAATTTCCCGCTACCTTTGAAACGTCCTGTAGATGGTCTCACGATCGCCTGGGGTGAGAGGTGGGGACAGAGAGTTCCTCGTGACTCTGTGATCTATCACCGCGCGGAAATTTCTGATTTTCATTTGCATGCCTCGACGAAGCTCACCTCGCTGATGCGCTCAGCCGCTCGCGCGCGCGCACGCGCATACACGATAGTCACGAAGAGGAGGCGGCTACTCGCGAGACAAGTGTGGCGAACTTAAGGATGCGACGCGATGTACAAAAAACAGCCGCTCTGCCGGATGCAGCTTAGAACGTCGCTTTCCTCGATTCGCTCGTGTGTATACGCGTGTCCTGTATATGTGTGTGTGTGTGTACGTATGTGTGCCGCGCGTATTCCCGTCCGCATGCACGCCCAAAAATCGAGCAACCGACTCTCGTTCCGTCTGGATTTTTATAGGACCGGGCTAGCCCGGACCTGGATGAACGTCGACGGAATAAAGGAACCATTAGCCGTTTCGGATCATTAAGGCGGTTTCCATGTAACTCCTTTTACGAGTTAATGGATCCTTGTCGAACGGGACCAATGATTTTCGTGATTTTTATGGGACCAATTTAGAAAATTACAGCACGCAGAGTCAACGAAATTAATTATCTCTCACTGTTATGGCAGTTTCCATGAAATCCTTTTTTTTTTATTTATTTATTTATTTATTCACCATGTTTGAAATTTTTATAAGGCCAGTTTGGAGGATTATAACATGTATAAGGGGATCCACGAAATAATGAATTATGTCTCACTGTTATGGCAGTTTCTATGAAACCTTTTTCAAATTTTATATTCTCGAATTTTTATCCGCGACTTTTGTAACTGCCATTGAATACCCGTGGTCATTGCGTAGATCTAGGAAGTCTGCCAAACTTTATTTTCCAATCTCTCGGTTTCTTTGATCTTTATGGCGGTTTTCATGACAGTGCTAACGTTCCTTTAACAGAGCACATTTGCCGCTATCTTCTGTGCCCGAATTAGTATTTCGAAGTCACCAGGCTTACATAGTGTAATAATATTGTTACACTGGGCTCGAAATGGCAGTCCCTTCTCGATTCGTTAACATTCCCGGTCAGACGACCGGCTGACGAATAACATTCCAGGATGTGACACCTGGGTCACAATACCTACGGCCCTGTGATCGTGTGGGCTTAGTAAAGCGTAGGCGTGTCATGCTCCTCCGGCTGCATTTGTAACGCCAAGTGCCTGCGCGGCGAATATACTCATAGGTGCATCTACAGGCTGATTCATTCCATTAATCCTGAGTTTCCAGGCTGATGAAGATAAGGGGAAATATTATCTCTAATGCCTATTGCGGGCCCATTTGTAACCGGGCGCTGGCTCAATGAACACACGGTTTATCTTATACAGGGCGATTCATATTATCTTCGAGAAAAAATTCATTGCTTACTACACTAAAGGAACATAAGGAGATACCTTATCAATTTCACCGATTTTATCCATCTTTCGTCACCTATAGCGATTTCAATTTTGGTGGCCCGAAATTTTCGCCCGTTTCTTCCATCTAGGAAATATTATCCCTAATACTTATTGCGGGGTCACTTTTAAATGGGCGGCGACTTGAGGAACACACGGTTTATCGTTCCTTTATCGTGTACAGGGCGATTCATATTATCTTCGAGAAAGCTTCGTCATTTTCTATGGACAAAGAACATAGGGGAATGTCTTACCAGTTTCACCAGTTCAGTCCATCTCTCGTCACCTACAGTGATTTCAGTTTTGGTGGTCCGAAATTTTTCTCATACCTTAGCAAACTACCACCTGAATCTAATCATTCGGAACTATCTGTGAAACCTTGATACTATTTGTTTTCTATTTATCTATACACGGTGACGAACATGTGACATCGTCTCACGATTCCTCTCGTGCTCTAACGTCGATAAAACGGCAATGAAAAATCGAACTTAATCCCGTCGTTGCTGTGTACGGCCACGCTCGTCCGCGGTCGTAAAATGAGTCACCTGTAAGTGCAGCTTTGGAATTATGCTTTTATTGCAGCCCGCATAGAAAGGGCTCTTTTATGGGACTTGTCGCGTGTTCAGCTGTATAGGTGTACCTGTTTTTCGTCACAGTTTGCATAGGACCGCGTTCTGCCGGACAAATTCGTGCGTACAGTGAGATCTGGCGTGGATCGAGCTCACACGGAAGAGGCAACCTGTATCACGCGACGCGGCTGGGAACAAGTGGGCGACATAGAGCGGAGGCCGATGGTATTTGTGTGGCAATAAGGTTATGGTGGAAGAAAGCATAGTTACCGAGGGGATAGTCTCGTTTGTTCTTCTTCCCGACGAGTATCGAGATGAAATTAATTTCCAGCTGGGATTTCAGAGTGGGAAGTTGACTAATTTGATAATTAAGAGAATGCGCA